TTGAGCGGAACACATGCTGATGACTGGAAAGTTCCCTCTCTCCTTCAGAACGATAAACGATATACCGAAACACATGGAGAGTTTCTCCCGCACCGGCGAGTGATCACGCTCAACATGAAGGGAAGTAAATTAATTATTGATTCTGGAATTATTGGAACAAAGATATGAAAGTAAATGAAAGCCATTCCAATCTTCTTTCTCCGTTCAATCGCTTGGATTCTGAGGTAAGCTTTCATTGGCTCTATCTCTCTCTGTCATTCCTCGCTCACTCTTTCTCCCTCCAGCCCTCACAAACATCACCAACAAAGAGAGGGCTAGGAAGAGAAAGAGATGGAGAAGCTCTTGGCAGACTGCCCCACCCCCCTGCAATCCCGACGAAAGATCCTAGGAACAGAAAATACAATTGGGCAACGGGCAATGTGCATGGTGTCCCCTGGGCTCTTGCTAAGTAACACATTTTTCGCGATTGCAATTTGGAAGTGAAACGGAATCCTGTTGCTCCAGTGGCTGTTGCTGCAAGTATTGCCGGGGCTCATTTGCGCACTTAATTCGTGGCATGTACTTTGCCGCCAGAACAGCTAAGCAAAACACTTCACAAGAGTTGTTTTTTGTCGCTTCACTATTTACTGCTCTGCAGAAGAGAAACAGCTTAGGCTTCCCAATAGCAGTCATTCTGAAGCATGTGAAATTGGACACAGAACGCACACAATGCCTACGCTTGCCTGGCATGGTGTCCCTTCGGATCCAACATCAGTCTACATTTACATCTGCCGTCGGGTTGCTCAGGGTCATTCAAATCTTCGTTAGGAGGCTCTTACCATGTCTTATCTTGCGCATCATCAGCTCAAAGTGAATAAACAGTTGCCACTCCTTCCCTGCAAATATCACACATGTCTCAGCCACACTCAACGGCTGCTTCCTGGTACCCGACACGGCCCACGACCATGGGCAACCGACTGCTCTTTGCTCCCAGGCGCCGCGCTAATTTCGCCGCCCGTGCACAAGCCCTGAATCAGCCGCAAGGTGAAGAGGAGGCATATGCCCATATGCCCCCATTTTTTGTCCTGCTTGAAAGCATGTGGCAAAGTGTTGGGGTCATTAAACATGTGTTCATCAAGGAAGTCACCCACAAGTGTTGTGAATGATTCCGATGTTGGATCCTTCTCATAGGCTGAACCAAAGTCAAAGTGGAAAGGTCTAACTTGGCTTGTACTTGCACCACATCGTGGCTTTCTGATAGAGTACGGCTGTTTGCTCAAAGCAGTGCGGATTATGACTCCCTAGAACGTAGCAAGACGTCTCCAGACTTGTGCGGCCGGCTACCTTCACGAAAGCCTGTAGATCTGTATCCATGATTTCCAAGACAAAGACAAAAAATATCAAGTCCATTCCACATCTTCCACTGTGTGTGCAATGTCATCTCATTAACTTGAGTAGCTGATTGTAAATATTGAAAGTCGCTCTTTTGCTGACACGCACCTCATGCCCATGATCTCTGATGCGCGGCCGCATTTAAGATGTAGTCTAAAATATGAGAACAAATCATAAACATACTGGTGACATCTGGTGACCGTGACTGTGTCCATGCAGTTTGTTTTCCGTTGGTGCCTGTTCCTCTGGCATCTTCAAGCCTGTTCCGTGCTCTTGCCCGTCTTTTGCATGCCACTGTGCGAGTGCACACTCACACCCCAGAAAGATGCCGGGTCGAAGAGCTGTGGTATAAAGGCCGCTTCCTCTAAAACTGGTATCTGTTTGGAGAGAGGCAAACATAATTCCTGGGTCGGAATTGCAAGCCTAGACAAAGCAGCAAAACTCAAGGAACATACATTTCTTGCGAGATATCGTCAGAACACTTCAGCCATATGTATTTGTGCATGACTGGATGGGTTGCTTGCAGCCTGGCAGATTGACATCAGCGTAAAGTTGTTGAGCATCGGAACGGCAGTGTCTTGTAAGAGGTTCGCTCTGGGAGGGACAAACGGCACCCCCAGCGTTTTGGGTAACGCTCCTAGATGTCCTTTCGAAACAAGAAAAAAAAGAGAAAACAAAGAAACAACGAGGAACCAAAAAAAACATGGTGACAGCAACCCAACGACAACGACTCCCATGCGGGGTCTGGGCTTCCTGCCAGAGTAACCCTTCAAATCGGCATTTCACTATCACAATTCCAACAGCTGCCCCAAGTAAAGGACCTTTCGCTCTAAAATCGGCAGATTACTTCCAGCGGGTCACCTCCAAACCTCAGACGCTATCCTGCCGTCCCGGTCCTCGGGGTAGGCTCTGGGGGTCGGCAGCAGCCCCTGGCCCACCGTGGCCAGCAGCATGCCCAGGCCGGTGATTACCACCGCCAGCTTGCGGCCGCACACGTCCCCCAGCATCCCCAGGAACAGCCCGCCCAACCTGAGCCGGTGGTCCCCAAAAATACCATACGGAAAAAAACAAGCCCCCTAACGAGGTGGTGGTTTGTGCATGTTCCGCATAGGAATTAGAAGGGCTAGTTGAGTCATGGTAAAGTGGACAAGTCGGAGAGGCGCTCTTAGCTGTTGGAAAAGTGGAAGCGAGACATTTCAGGCAAAAGCTGATCACAAACAAGGACCGTGCGCTTGGATTGGCCTGGGCCTGGTCACAGTTGGGCCATGATAACAATGGCAACCACGATTTCAAGGTCAACTTTAGGTTGAGGCGACCCGTGAAGTGTTCTGCTCGGGCCAGCTGCTTTGCAACCGGTGCGATGATCAAGCATCCATCCGCTCGTCTCTTGCGGTATCTAGCTGCATTTATGTGGTGTCCCAAAATGGTCAACTCCTGACGCTATCTGTTCAGCATAGCTGAAGGCTCTTGTCTAACATTCTAAGGCGACTTGGGAGGCCTGACGTCAGATTGTCTGACTTCCCTCCCCCTCGCTGGGATTGGACCAGCCTTTTGGACCAGCATTTGAAGTGCTCGAGACTCGAGACCATTCCAAAATGCAAAGTACAACGATGAGTGAAATTTGCCACTCCACCTGTATGGTGTTTCTTGGGCCAGAGATATGCGGCCACCGTTCACACGGCCAACCAGTCGACCCCACGACAGCCACAGACGAGAAGCGGCCGCGCAGCAAAGGTTGCAGTGAAGCCCAACCACGTGGCCAGCGCGGAGCCCCGAAAGAAGTTTGTCTCCATGTAGGACTCCATGTAACCTCAATCCACAGTGACATCCTCAAACTTAGCCTTGGTGGTTTACAGCAGAGGGTCTCAAGCACCAAGAGGGTTTTAAGATCTGGAAAACAATGTTTGTCTTCCTTTTGGGACCAATCCACAAGAATGTGGGCTGGGAGAGAATGGAAACAAGTGCACACTTCTTGGCGGAGAAATCAGAACACAAACAAAACCACGCTTAAGACCCAATTGACGGGGTGGCGACCTGAGACATGAGGACATGCAGTTCTTCGCGATGACACCCCCTATATATCTAATGAGGCCTCGCTCAAACCTGCTCAATCCAGAAGTTCCTCGCGGGATGTTTGCTGTCTTGTCAGCCTGGCAAGCTGGGGGGGAACTCGTTTGCTAAAATTGTGGCATCCTGACATACTCCTTTGCAAATTGACATAGAACCCGAAAGCGGGTCCGCTGACAGGACGATTCCTCTAAACATACAGTTGCTTTGTGCGTTGCAGGTTATAGGACCTGCAGAGGGGTATATGCTGAACGCACAAACACAACATGACAAACTCTCTGATATCTAACAAGTCCCAGCACAGCATAAATGCTTGGGCAAACATCTGCAATTGCTAGCAAGAAACGAATCGAAAGAGCGTACAGCTTCAAGCATGTTCATCATTTCTGTCTGACGACCCCTCTTTCCACCCAACCGCTCGAACCACCATGTATGAAGACCCTTGGTTCATTAGTTAACAACTGGCTTTCGCAGCACGGAGCCGTAGACGGCGAACTCGTACCACTCCAGTGCATTCCCCATCAAGACGGGCCAGTAATTTCGCAGCAGCTTGATGATGTCATCTGCAGAGCCCCCCATGGCTTGCACTCAAAGCCGAGTGCCGATCTGGCTCGCAAACGAAATGCCTCTGGGATGCGATGCCACCCGCTTGAAGCGAGTAGTGGGAGATACCCTGCTGCCAATGGTGGCGTGTTTATACAAATAGGCTCAAGAGATTGGATGCTGTTGCTTCAACCCTCCCAATGAGTTTTGCAACAGCCATGCATCTCTGAATTTGTTCATGTGTTGATGTGTTAACAGGAGGCGACAATAGGTGATCGTGACCGTTGCATAAATCAGCTTGAGATTGCCAAGCAAGACCCTCATCTGCAACTTCACAATACAAGGCACGGTGGCACGCTTCAAGCATATCCGATATCCAAACAACCCAGCTGCAAATGAACTGAGCCTTTGACCTGGGAGTCAAAAATATGAGAAACACATGAACAAGCACCCGGGCAAGATATTCATATGGTTCTTCAAACAAAGCCATAAGCTGATAGCTCCAATAAGTTGTGATGGCGTGTTCAAGTGCCTTGTGCCTGGCAGCTTCGCCACAACGGCCATTGGCTCCCGAAGATCGAGGCGCATGACACTGCAGTCGAACCATGCTGCTCCACCTTGAATCAACTATCCCTTGGGCGGGTCCGGCTACTTGGGATGGTTACATCAGAACTGGCAGCTCCATGCCCGCCCCCTCCGGTCCAACAAGTCTCCAACTTACAGCTCACAAGTGAAATCAAAAGAGACGACATTAGCTCAGAAAACACTTGCCCATGGGATATGGAAGGGCATAGGCTCTGCGCTCCTAACAAATCGAGAACCTCTGCCAACAAAACTCTACGTGGCAGACAAGACGGCTCAAGTGCAGGCTCAACATGATGCGGGGCATGAAGCACGAACCAGTCAAGATTGGCCACAGCTGCGCGTACTTGTCCCACAGTTGCCTAAGCCTAAGCAATTCAGGAGATCAAGTGAGAGAACTGACCCCTAAGCGAACCAAAGCCAACGATCGCAGGCTCCTGTCGCACTGAGCACCAGCCTCGCAAAGATAGGTCACTACCTGTGGGCCAAGGTCACGGGAAGCGGCTTGCATCTTGCGTATTTGCTGGATGTGGCGTTTCTATGGACCATGGCTCTCACAAGCAACCGTGACATCTTTTGGTATTCTCTGCTCACTCTGGGCCAGTGCAAGGAGCCTTCATGGGGTCGCTAAACTTTACATAGTACCTTCAGGTTCATGAGCATGAATAGCTCTCTGCGCATGCCAAGAACTCTTCAGCTAGCCTCCCTGAAGGTGCCTGGCCCAAAAGCCCAGGCACATGAACCAGGCTTTCTAGGACACCTCTTGCCTGTTTGCAGGGAAAAGGCCAAGAGCCACACAACAAAGCTGACACAAACAGTACAACTCAAACAACCGGATTCACTGGTTTGGATCGCCATTGTTGTAGATGTTGTAGATGCATGCAGATGCCGCAATGGCCTTTCCTCTGGTTGACCATCATGCCGCAAAACTTGATTTGCTGAATAGAGGAGACACGACCACTATGCAAACCGAAAAAGTCCTGGTGCATTTCGGGCGGGCATGAACGAGCGCGAGCCCACATGCCAGCACACAAACAAGCAGGAACTAGCAACCACGTAATCAACAACCAACCAAACGTGCAAGAAAGCCAGGTATGCAAACACACAAGGCCAACCAAGCAAAGCAAGCAGGAAAGCAAGAACATACGGAAGCCAGCAAGCCAGGGCAAGAAAGCGAGCGAGCGAGCACCATGAGCTGGTGATCCTTGCGTCCTGCAGTTAAGGCTCCGGGCGTCCAAATGCCCCTGCCTGGTGCTCGGGCCAATGCTTCCGGAGGGGAAGCTGGGAACAAGCTCAGGTGATATCCCCAACAGCATGCGGTGCTCTTTTTAGTGTCTCACCACTTGCAGAACCTCGTGGAATCCTCGTGGAATCCTCGTGGAATCCTCGTGGAATCCTCGCGGAAACCTCGTGGAATCCTCGTGGAACCCTGGTAGAACCCTGGCGGAACCCCCGTGCAACCTTACCGCTGAGACCCCAAAGCTTTCAGCTGTTGGGAAAAAGAATGTTTGCCAATTGCAAGGAAGCCGGTCAAAACGAGCAAGTGAGTAGGTGGTGCGCTCAGTCAAATTGCAATAATGCATCAACGCAAATGCGCTGGCCTAAACTCAGTACACATGCAAGAGCTGGCCAATGCGATCCAACACTCCTCCTATCACACCGGGGTGTTCAGGTTTCCTGCATGGGACCAAGTTATCGGTCGGAACAAGTCACATCAGCAATGTTCAGCGCTGCTCTATGAAAAGACCCTGCGAGAGCCAACCGCGAACAACTAATCCTCACGAATTGGGAACAGCACATTCCCCAATGTTCCAGACCCTCGCTCTTTTGAACTTTCTGATCGTGAATTACTTGTGAAACAAATATCTGGCCATGGGTCAAAACCCCGGTTAGCCCCCAGTGAACATCCCGATCCAACCACTACAAATAGGAAACCTAAAATGGGTGGTGAATTCACCTACCAACCAAAATGGGATCAACCAAAACGGTTTTGACCACCACTGCCATATGGGTCTGGTAGATGGAAACAAAGACTAAAACCTGCGGTCCCCTGATGGTCTAATTTTGGCCCATACCCATATGCCCGTGGCTCACACTCCCCGTCCGAGCAAACGAGCCCGCGGCAGTGCAGCCACATGGAGCGGAGTTGTTCCGTTCCCCGTGGGTTTGTCCAGGGCAGCCTCACGTCGCTCGCTCGCTACGGAACGCCTGCCTGGGAACTCAGTCCCAAGAAACGGGGCAGTCCTTCAATTCTTGGGTTATTGTTGACCCCCCTGCAAAAAGTGTTTTTTCTTCTTATTTTTTTGCGGGGTTAGTGGAAAACCCCTAGATTTCACAAAAAGTTAAGGTCTAAAGATCCAACCCAATAGCAGTGCATACTCAGATCAGAGGTTACTGCTTGGAGGACGAATCCGCCCAACGCCGCAACAGAAACTCATCATGCTGACTGGGCTTTCCAAAGCGAGGGGTGGAGGAGTGGGGGGACCTAATCCCAATCCCCAATCCTTAATTTGCAGTGGGACAGACACCAAGGGAATCACAATCTAGCTGAGAATCTTGCGGACCAATCTCAGTTGTTCAGTGACCCTGGAAAAAAGGGAACCCTTTTTGTTTTTGGGGAAGACCATTTTGAACAAAGCAGCCACCAAAAAAAAAGGAAAAATAATTGGTGCCACTGAACAACTGAGCAATTGCTCATCTGGCATGGCTCTAAGGCTGGGGCTTTGGCCTCTGCCAGGTACTGCACCATCTGCGCACAGTCTCTGTCGGGTGAAGCCAGGCAAAAATGGGACGTGTCCGCTAAGAGGACTTGTTGAGCCGTTGCATTGTAACATTGTAACCATCCAAGTTTGAACAGGTGTTCAACAAGTTGTTGACCATCTGACTTCATGCATGTCTACGGATCAGGCAATCAATTTCTCCAACATTCTACGCAACACTGCTCAACGTTAGCAGGATCTACACGCGATAGCACGGACCGCCCACTGGGTGATATGTTTGGCTCATTGATGGCAATAAACTGACAAACCACATGAATATCAACAAATCACATGAATATCATTCATGTTCATGAAAGCAGGCATGCCTTCAGCCGGCCCGTGCATGAGTGGAGATTTGTGCAGTGGTCCAATGCTCCCAGGAAATGATGCGTTCTGGGAAAGACCAGGCGCCAGATTCAACAGTGCTGTATTCTTGTTGCCTGGAAACGTTGACGGGCAAAACCCCTGCAGCACGCATTTTAAGCCAAGCGAATGCAAGGAAACTTGCAAACCAAGGCATCCAGCAGGCACGGTTGTCGGCCTCCAAGTGGAACCTGATCTGGCAATTACTTATGTTTAAATAACTAAATGACTAAGTGGGTAAGTCAATGCAACAACACCCGAAACACTTCTACACAACTGCAGGGCCTGCCATGAAGCTGTCGCGCCTCCAGGCGGCCCTGCATGGCGGCGGCCAACCTGGGCTGAACAAATTGCGTCTAACCCCCCCCTCAGTAGCATGGGTTTGAACACCCAGGTTGTACGACCACACATGTCATTGAAACGCAACCCGCCAAACAACACCTGGATGCCTACATTCACAAGATGGCACTTAGCATCCGTGGAAGCCATTGTTTCCTGCATTCCGTATAGCAACCTAACCGTCGCCGGAGGAATGCCTCCTGCAGCAGTGCCCAAGCTGCCAAAAGCAAGCAAATGCCAATTCACACTAGGTCTGTGAGCTGAGCGTAAGGGCCAGGGGTAAAAGTATGCTTTCTGCACATGGTACAAATAAATAGCACAGTCCAAGCTATGGCAACTTTCAGGAAACGTGTGGCAGGTGAAAAGCACTTTGACAGCCTCTGCTCGAACATCACAACCTATTCAAGTGCGAAGTACCTGTTGGTTCCAGCCTGAAAACAACAACAGTTGAGTACAAGTGTAATACTGTAATGCTCGAATAGTATCTTGGCAGCCATGAAACAACTGCATTCAGTACCCAGTCCAATATGATGTACAGTAAACCTTGGTAGCTCTGGCTCGAATATGTGTTGTCATTACACGGGCAGTACACGAAGCAAAACTGTCAGAGCCAACAATGGTATTTCTTTCGATTCCGGCTTGCCATTGTTTTGTCCTGCTGTTGTAGCTCATACGCTGTTGGCCTTCAAAGTTCCTGCAGCTGATCCAAACCTTTCTGTTGACCGAAAACCTGTTCTCACGCACGAAGCTGCTCGTGAAACACGGCGTGCATTGAGTTGTTTTAGGTGGGGACGCCACGAGGGCGTCGTGTCCCTGCCAGCAAACCCAGCATCGTTGCATGATAGATGCAAGGCATGGTGCTTGGGAGGGGGGGGGGGATGGGCATCACGTACGTTGTTTGGGGGGAGGGCGGGGAGGGGGGAGGGGCGGGGAGGGGGAGGGGGGGGAGGGGGGGGGAGGGGGGGAGGGTAACGTTCGATGTTGACGAGATGCAAGGCATCATGTGCGTTGTTTGGAGGGAGCGGGGGGGCATGGGTAGTGGCGTTCGATGTTGACGACGCGCCAGGTTTGCCAAGGATCGTATTCTCGGCGTTCTTTGTTTTTCATTTTCAAACTTTTACGGACCCCCGGGAAGGTTTGAGGGGCTGCTTCTGGCTGAGAAGCGATTGGTCTCACAGCTTGCAGAGCACTTGATCTTGTCACTGTTTGTATGTCAGCAGTTTTTTGCACAAACACCCTCTTGGTTTTAAGATGTTTTAAGGTCCCCGGGGGTGTTTTGGGGGCGTTCTGTTGGCTGGGAGAAACTTGGTCTTGCAGCTTGCGAGCATCTGACTCTCACCATTCTTTGTTCTTCTGCCAGAGCCGTCATGGACTTGTGGACTTGTGGGGCTGTCATCAACTTGTTTTACAGCTTAACATGGGCGTGTGTTTAGCAAAGTAGCTGTTTCCCTCTGTCTTTTTGCCATTTTAAGTTCACAAACGCACGACGCCTGAGTGGCGTCCTTCGCTTGCTTGCCATGGAATCCGCCCCATCTGTTCTTTTGGGACCGGCCCCCATTCATTCGCAGCACGGGCTTTCCACACCTCTCATGCCGAGCTGCATCGGAGACGCCCCATCGCCCTCGTCCGGGTCCACCGCCGCACCTGCACAAGGTCACCGCATCTACACGTGGGGCTGAAGCCAAACTACCGCCGGTTGAAGTATGATTAGATTATGATACTCCTTGATGTCTGCCAGCCCCGGCTGACATGAGTTGCTAGAGGCCGGCGCATGCGCTACCAACAAGCTCCGACAAGCTGCCTCGAGAACTCCGGATCTAGACTCCTCAGATCCGCTCGAGAACCCCGCTCTCTGACGAGACCACCCTCGAGACATTGCTTAGTGATGAACTTAAGCAAACAATCAAAAGATCATGGCTAAAAAAACAGCCCTATTCCGCAAGTAAGCAAGAAATTACCCTTTGAACATGTGGGAGAACAAATCAACAAGCCAGTGTGCTCGGGTTGCGAAAGAAGAGCTTTCCCGGCTCTACGACCGCGCGACCCGGCACGCCTGCTTGGCAAAGCAGCTTGGCAACCTGGATCGACTGGTGGACCGCGCAAGGCCCAAGGCGACTAGGCAAAACGTGTCTCAGCTATTCTCCTCCGCCAGCCAGCCCCTTGGTGGCAGTTGGATGGGGAGGAAAGTGGGACAAGGGCGCGCACTGCACTTGGCCGGCATGTGGCCTATGAAACAGAAACCGGTGTGCGTACATGCACACCTGCATTGCACTTATATTGCCCACACAATCGTCATACCACCACCAATCAGCCAACAACAGTCATCCAGGAGTACGAATTAATTGCAACATTCGGCTATTTTGCTGCTCCCACGAACAAACACGTAGACACGCACACACACATACGCTGAGACACACACACACACACAAAAACACAAGCAAAAACACACACACAAACACAAACAAGCACACACAGACACAAACACAAACACAAATAAAAACAAAAACAAACCAAAAACAAAAAACAACACAAACACAAACACAAACGCATGCACAGACACACACACACACACAAAACACACAAAACACACAAACACACAAACACACAAACACACAAACACACAAACACACAAACACACACACACACACAAACACACAAACACACAAACACACAAACACACAAACACACAAACACACAAACACACACGCACGCACGCACGCACACACCCACACACACACACACACACGGAAACACAGAAACAAAGAAACACACAGAAACGCCGAACACAAGAAATGACGCAACTCATTCATACAAGCTGAAGTCTTGTTGCTCAAATAGCTCTACGAATACGGTGCCAGGCTGCTACCATGCAATACCAAGCCAAAGGAACGAACTTATCAGATGATTATGAGGCCAGCAGCGAAACGCAACGGAGAAGTCCTTTTGCCAAAAATTGGTCGCCAGTCGAATCTGGGAAAGGCTAACAGCTTGGGATCTCAATGATTCCACCAGAAAAGGTGTAACCATCGCCCAGACGACGCCAATTTTTTCATGAGATTGCGTCTCTTTTCATGGAACGACGTTGGACCGCACAGGCAGTTTTTAGTATGGCGGTGAAACCGAAGAAAACCAAAGCCATCCTTGAATTTTTGCAAAGGCATCGGACGTCAGTGGTATTTTCCCATGCGGCTCGTGCCTCAATGTGCCCTTGTAACGCCGCGGAGAGGAGAGCCGTTCGCCCGTCCTTCGGGCCGATACACCAAAACAACCGCACTGACCTCGACCTGGTGCCTTCATGTGAACAGGATATGCTTGGATCATGTGGACACCCAAAGCGTTGGAGTCTTCAGTGGCTTGCCTAGGTGTTAGAACCATGTTGCTGAGGAAGACATAGGTATCGATGAGCGTCTGAAGCGCTGAGCACTGGGAGTCTCATGATACAAGAAAAAAAAGCAATCAAGGATTGCCAATCTAGTTCAACCTGCAGTATGTTGCATTTTAAAAATACATCCTGAACAGCGCCAACCAGCATCATGGTCCGTGCCATGCCATCTTGCGGGGTGTTGTGTGTAGGCAACACATTAATGGAACTCTTAAATTGCATCCGCTGTAGACCTGCAGGGCAAATTACTTTCGGCGAGATGCGACTACGTAAACACATGTTGCATCATTGTGACTATATGCGTCTAAACGGTGGGTGAGTGATAGTGATGCACCGAAATGGTTGGTGTTCTTGATGATTTGCTTTCCCTCCCGTGCAAGGGGCACTAGTTTCAACGCACGCACACCAATCTTGCCGCGCGTGAACCTTGGCATAACCGTGTCTTCATGACCGTCTTTGACACGTGAAAGGGCACAAACACAAACACACACACACACACACACACTATTTGATCAACTAATGTGCATTTTTTGCGTCAGCCACCAGGACCTCGCTCGCTACGCTGTCCAAAAAACAGCTCAAGGCTGCATCATGTGCGTGTTTGTGTGTGTGTGAAGAAGCAGTCTACAGTAGCTGTCAAGTGTATGGTAGGTTCTGGAAAAAAACCAAAGGCTACAACATATCGTCAGGAAGCTATGCCTCAATGCCTTAACTGCCAACTTGTCGGGTAGTGGGATGAGCTTCATCACACCTTGCGACGAATCACACAGAGCGTTTCATGCCAGCCTTGGTCAATATCAAGAAACCCAAACAGCACTATTTACGTCTTGCTGCGACCGTATTTCCCTCCCTCAACTGCAAATCATGCCACTCCCCCCTGTCAAACGCTCGACCTCCGCCACGTCACCCGACCCACACCTCACCGGCCCTCGCCTCCTCACTGCGATGGTCAGGGCATGCGCGAGCCCTTAAGCAGCGCCTGGAGTCAAGGCATCAGCGACACACCCGAATATCCGTAACCCATGTCTAATACATCTGAGAATCAAACAAAACCTATTGGTTGTAGAGGTTTTTACAGGCCTCCCTAAAACATCCTTGATTCTTAAACCAGGTATTAGAACCACCTATGCAACTAGCCAAAATGTTGGTGTTGGGCGCTGCTCATCTTCTTCCTGCACTACACCCCCACAATATGCTTCTCAGTTGCAGTGGGGCTCGCTTCCTGAAATCTCGAGACAGCATCCCCGAGCTTGGAACCATGGAATCCTCGCGGTTGTGAGACTGGGTTTGCGGATTTGCTGGGTTTGCTTGAAGCGGAAGCCTCAAGATCGAGGAGAAAGCGATGACTGTGCGGCAAGTGGCGAGCAAGATGCAAATTATCATTGCGGCAACAAAAATGCAACAAAAATGACTTTAAAAAGAATGCCAAGAAATGCTTAAAAAACGCTCAACGTGTGCCGGGCTCGCTCGACGTCTTCCACCTCACCACGCCAGGCCTGAGTCACTGCGCCGGGAGATTCTGGAAACCAAAGCCAGAACAGAAGCGGTAGCAATCCAGCATACGTTCATCATGTTTATTTGAGACGGAGATATAAACATGACGTGAAGAGGTGGGCAGCCAAACTGACCAAACCATCCACGCAACAGAAGCGCTTGTATATATCGCACAAATCAAGCATACCCGCTCCAGGGTAATTTGCCTTCCTACAGGCCATTCTCGATGTGTATCTATATACATATTGCTAGGACCACGAACAACTTGTTCACTCTCTGCGCCTCGAAATATGCTAAACGCTGTTACACTGATCAATCAAGAGATAAAGACCATTGGTCGTAGTATGTCATAGCGCTCCACATGCAGGTGTAAGCAACACCGTCTGCAAGTGCATGGCACTATGCACACCACCCGTATCCAACCTAACACATTCAGTTGACTTGGTTGCTGTTGACCCCTCTGCAAAAAGTTTAACTTGTTGTGGCTTCAACGGAAAACCCTTCATTTCCCGAAAAGTTAAAGTCTAAAGATCCAACCCAATAGCACCACCCGTATCCAACCTAACACATTCAGCTGATTTGCACTTAAATTACTTCGGGCCACAAAGAACTGCCTCAACGAGGTGAGCGGATTCTACAGGCGCCCAGCGTGGATCAGCAGCTGCCGACTTTGGGCTTCGTCGAAGCTCAGCTTCACCAAGAGGAGCTCCAGCAACTCCGCGTGTCCTGTCGCGACTCGGAACGTGCCGGGTAGAATCACTCAGATTTGGATAGTTTTGGTTGTAGGAATTGCAAATCGTCTGAGTCTGAAGACCACATGCAACATTATTGTGTGTGTCAACCACCCAATGGAGCGGCAACCGCCCAAAATCGCCAAATCGCCCAAAACCGGCCTCTGAGGTGGGCCAACTCCAGCTGATCCTCGCAAACATCGTTGGCCAGCAGCAGTTTCTGCCTTCAGGCCGGTCGAGTTCGTTCGATGCAAGTGACTCCGGAAGAAGGTGGCCAAATCTTTTTGGACCATGTCTTAGTGGGAAACCCCTCAAGCAAGAACATTTGAAAAGGAACAAGGGCACTGAACAAAGTGGGGAGGCTGGTTGGTCAGGATGGCCGCAGCTTCCTGAACAGTCCTGACAATGGTGGATGATGATCCCCGGGTCAAACATCTAACTCACAAAAGGGTATGCCTATACACTCCCAAGCTCGTTTTCTGCACTGAAACCGAGCTATTGGCAAACTTTACCGAGGCCCCAGACGTATGAAGCGGCGTGTCAGCGCTCAAAGCCACCTGCAAATGTGAGAGCCCACTTGCCCAGTGAACCTGGTAGAAGATGGACTTCTTCTTGAGGGTGACCTTTGGTGGAGAACTCACAAAACAACAGGAAAAACGGATGCCACTGAACAATTGGGGGATTAGGATGACACTGAGAAGCTTCATGGTAGCATGTCCGGGCTTTTCAGCAGCTCTGCCGGTGACTGACGGTCTTCATAGACAGTAAAACCAAGAGCAATAAACCTGTAATTGGGACAGTGATTCCTCCACACGGCCGAACAGCCCTCAAGCCACAAGAACAAGGCTGGGTCAGCAATCGTCGAAGCCCCGGACAAACCTTCCACACACACACGTCTGTGCGTGTGCGTCCACGAGCTTGTATGTGTGTTTGTGTGCCTGTCTCCGTATGTCAATGTAGTTCTGCGCATTGCTCTGTGTGTGCCACATCCATGTTCATTAAGCCAAGCTTGAGGAGCGACCATCGCTGCTGAGTGAGGCCTTTCCCTCACACTTCCGAACCCACTGCAAAAGCTGTAGATCTGGCCTTTTGCAACAGAACCAATATTGCGTGCTACACTCAAGCGGACAAAGCAACATCGGAGTTAAGCTGCCCGAATCCCAGAAATCTGGGTCAGGTCGACCATTCCGGGCCGAAAATTTTCAAGCAATCCGTTGACCCTGCGAATCCGTGCCTTGCAGTCCAAGACCGTGGCATCCCCCGGCAACTCCAGTGAGGCGACCTCCACGGTGAGGACGAGTTTCTAGAGCCCATGTGAACGTATCAACATCACCTTGTTGAAAACACCAAACGGGTGCCTGCAAAAGAATCACGGCTGCTGCTAAAGCTCAAACAACATGGCTAATATGCGTTGAGAGTCACGACTTTGTTGAGGCTGTGGAATTTTGAAAGAATCACACTGGCACATGTCTGATCGATACAAGTGCCAGCATTCTGCAACATATACGCTCTAGCAAAAGCACTGCAGCAGCTTTCTTTCTGTAGTTGGGTGTCCACAGCATGCATTGCTCGCAAGCGGACATCCTTGTGGCTTACCAAATGTCAGTTCTCTATGCACGCTTCGCACTTGCTGAGAAGTGAACAGCAGGGCCTTCTCGCATCCTACTGTCCAGCTTAGATCTTTTCATGGCACCAACCACGGTGCCATCTTGTTTGAAGGCTCGCCTCAGGGCAAGCCATCAACCGGACCAGACTCCGGTCCACCTTGCCTGCTCCCCATGCACGCCGGAGATGATCACCTTGATCGGCTCCTCCTGAGGCCACGGTTGCCAACTGAGAAGTGGGAGGTTGAGATGTACAGCAAGAGGCCACTCCAGCCCGCTGGACATGGTAAAGCTGACATCCAACTAGTTCAGGGTTCCTGCGCAAATACCAGCACCAATCCGCATAGCGGCAAGGACTCAAACTTATATATATACATAGATATTTATTTCTACCCATGCATATGCACATATCACAGGAGGGGTGTGAACATAATTCACCAAACCAAGCGTGCAGAGCAAAAACGGGTTGAACAAAACAGTGATTGGTCCCTAGTAGTTAGTCGGGTTCAGACAAATGTAACAAGCAGGAATAGATGGTACTCATGCACCCAGAATCAGCGCTGTTGGAATCAGTGCCTCTTCCACCGACTCCGCAGCAGCTGCCTGACCAGAAATCAGAAAGGCGAGTCGCTGTCTTGGGCCCCCAGGGGGAAGTTGAACAGAGCTAGCATTGATCATCCCTGAAATGAGAACTTGAAGCCGGTCGTAAGGGGGTCGCTTGTTCGGTTTTGACACATTAGCTATCTGTTGCCCGCGTTTGCCACCCAAGGCCAATAGCAGGCAACACCCATCCCAGCATACATGCTCTACCACGGAAACAACCAAGAAGCAATCAAAGTGTCGGCTGAAGCCTGGTGCGCTCCAAGCGATCACATTTAAGGATCTTAAGGGACGGCTGGATCAAGCCGAGGATCACTATTTTGCTATCATGTTGCAACCCTGGTTTTCTGCATCACATGGCGGAAAATATGATTGAGGCATTTCCCAACTCACTATACCTAGCAGCATCAATAACATCAAACATTCGACCCTCGGACGGAAATGGATTGCTCTGGGGTACCCTGGCGGCACCTGCAACATAATGTACATTTGCGCCTTGATGGATGCATGGTTGGGTGCATGCGCATACACATTGCTACGATTCTAACTTACGGTATTGTTGACGGAGGAATGAACGTGGTCTCTGTTATGTGGGTATGCAATGGCCAAAAAATGTTTGAGACCTCCACAGTTCCAGCTGAAAGTCGCAACTTGTCAGCACCGCTTTCTACTAGGCCAATGTAGCATTAGCACAGAACGACAAAATGCATCTCCGCAATTCCAGCCCTGAATTTTGCCACTTTTCGGGTACAAGCGCAGCACGCAAACCCCACAGCTCCAGCTCGAAACTGGACCGCTGGAGTTTGGTATGCAACGAGGCATGTGACGTTTACGAGGTATGTAACAAGGTATAGCACACAAAAAGGATTCTTGAGGCATGTAGATAGCCAGCAGGCATGGTTATACACAGGGTATGTAATGCGCTCTGTAACGAATGTCCGCCGCTGCTCTGTAATATACCCCGCAAACACTCACTGCCAAATCGGGCAATATGTGTACATCCATGTCACGTGGTGCAAATGTATATCAATATACATGTGACGAACCCCTTCCTACTTCACCCGAACCCAACGCTGACAGAAAGGTGTGCACGCCTCCAACGCTTCCTGGGCGCATCCCATGGCTCACATCTCCGGAAGACCGGCCCAGGCCCGGTCAGAACAAGGGCCCAGAGTTTGGACGCATTCGGTGATTTGGAGGGAAGCAAAGGAAGACTAATTGCAATCGTTGGAACTGATATATGACTGAGTGAACCCCTTTAGCATCAGTTCTGGCTCGTCTGGCCCTACTCGCAGCTTGCTAATGAGAGGCCGGGAGCACAACAAGCGCCTGGATGTTGCTGGAGCCTAGTAGAGGCCCTTGCAAATACATGGCTCCATCTCTCAATTACCGTATTTCCATGTCTGTTAGAGTCCTTGAGTTGGCTGGCCAGGGTACATTCACAAGGCGGCACTGGCACCGGCATAGACACCCACACGGGTCGTCCCACGGAAATAAGTCCACTGCAACTGCATTGAAGGTTGCCTTTGTTAGGATGTTCTGAGGACCCTCTCATGTTCTCAGCTTTGGCGAGTCAACTCCATCGCAAACAAAGAGAGGCAAGTTAACACCATCGTATACCCAAGAACAAAACATGAATGAAAACCGCATGCTTGTACAAAGATC